CATCAAACCAAATAAAAAATTCTTCCTATGACTTATAAGACGCATCATGCTCGGGCACTGTCCACCCCCACCGAGGACACCCTTGCCCTAGCTGAGCTTGACTYCTTGCATCTTCCAGAGCACATTATGCTCTTTACTGGCTCACAACTTTGTACTTACTGTCCCCTCGCTTGGCAAAACACACTCTTCACCAATTGTCATGTTCTCCTAGGGCATGTACTTAATGTCCCCTCTCTTGGCACAGTCACCTCTTCATCAATGTCACGTTGCCCAAGGGAATTTGCTCTTCCTTGGATCAAATGTCCTGGCTACTGCAGAGCCCTCCTTGACCCCTCCAGGTGATTCCTGTGCCCTCCTCCRTACAGAACCGCGCACCCAACATGTCCACCTCGCTGTAGGCCCGACTGTCTTCCTGGCCAGCTGTGAACTCCCTGAAGGGCACAAATCACCTCCTTTCAGTTTGGACCCAGTCTAACTGTCCAGAATCTAAGAGGTGTTAAATAAGGTTGGTTGACCCTGGTGCCAGTAATCTCAGCAGCTTGAGAGGCAGAGGCAGGAGGCTCACAAGTTCCAGGCCAGCCTCAGCAATTTGGCAAGGCCCTAAGCAATTTCATGTTGCCAAATCCTGTCTCAATATGAAAAATAAAAAGGGCCAGGGATGTGGCTCAGTGGTTTAAGTGCCCCAGTACAAAAATAAATAAATAAATAATATTTGTTAAATGAGAAGAGACTGGAATAGGAGGAAGAAGGAGAGGAGGAGGGAGGAACACAGCACTTTTCACATTAAGTAGAGGAACCTAGATGAGATTGGGAGGGATTTCTGATCACAAGGACATGGCCCTTGACTTTACTGGGGCAGTGGGTTCACCTGTGAGGGCTCTTTATAAATTCAGAGGATGGAGTCTTGGATCAAAGGGTGCTAGGATCTCTGTTACAAAGTCAACCAGAGGAGACTTCTGCCTTCCCCAGTGTGTTGTTCCTTGAAACCAGCAGGGCCCAGCTGCTGAAGCCACGTGAACTCCCCAAGTGCTGGCGCTTGGTGGGAGACACATGTGTGATGTGAACTGGGATTGGGGTTTTGTAACAACTGTGCAAGAGCATTTCTATGCTCATGATCTCCAACTTGACTAATGATCTCATGATCTCATAATTTGACTAATCTCACATCAAAATCCATGAAGGTCCCGCCATTACAGAACACAATATGAAGATTCCTCAAAAAATTAAAAAGAGCTACCATATGATCTAGCAATTTCAGAATATATACTTGATATATAGTCAAAGGAAATGAAGCCAGCATATTGAAGTGACATTTGCACTCCCATGTTGCTGCTTTGTTCACAGTAGCAGAGAGACAGTGCTGACCTAAATGTCTACCGGTGGAAGAATGGATAAGGAAAATGTAGTGTAGATACACAATGGAATACTATTCAGCCTTTAAAAAGAAGTATAACCTGTTATTTGCAACAACATGGATGAACCTGGAGAATATTATGTTTCATGAAATAAGCAAGCCACAGAAAGAAGTACTTATTATATGTGGTATCAGAAAAAAGTCAAACTCATAGGAAACAGGGAATAAAATTGTGGTTATCAGGGATGGGGGCAAGGGCAAGGKATTAGGGAGATGTATGTCAAAGGACACAAAATCTCAGGAGGAGTAAGTTCAGGAGATCTATTCTACATTATGGAGACTAGAGTTAATAGCAATATAGTGTATACCTGGGAATGAGTGAGGAATTAGACTTTGAGTGTTCTTACCACACACAAAACATGATAAGGGATAGAGTGTGGCTCAGTAGTAGGGTGCTTGCTTAGTATGCCAAAGGCCCTGTTCAATATCCAGCACGACAAAATCATCATCATCCTGTGCAAGAGCACAGATGTGAAGTGGTGCTTCCACAGAATGAATATCTTGATTTAGCCATTCCACAATATGTCTAAATATCAAAAAGTATTTTACACTATAAATATATATAATTTTCATTTGCCAGTTAAAAATATTTTATAAAGAAAACAAATCCAACCAGGTACAGTGTGCACATCTGTAATCCCAGCAGTTCAGGAGGCTGAGGCATGGGGATCATGAGTTCAAAGCCAACCTCAGCAACTTAGTGAGGCCCTAAGCAACTTAACTCTAAATAAAAAAATATAAAAAGGGCTGTGGGTGTGGCTCAGTGGTAAATCTCCAGTTCAAACCCTGTATGCAGTTCAATAGTATTACTAAAAAAAAAGAAAACAAATCCATATCTACAAAAACCCATAAAGACTGTATATGCATGAATGAATATTTATATGTGTGTAGATATATATATGTGTGTGTGTGTGTGTGTGTGTGTGTATCCATAAATAGAATATTATTCAGCCACACAAAAGAAATACTGATTCTTGCTATGTTATGATTCAATCTTGAAAATATATTAAGTGGAAGAAGCCAGACACAGAAGACCACATATTGTATGATTGCATGCATTATGGAATATCCAGCAGRGGAAAGAGAGTAGATTAGTAGTTTTCAGGTGCTGGGAGGAGGGGAGGGAAAATGGGGAGTGGCTGTCAATGGATATAAGGTTTCTTTGGGATGTGATGAATGTTATGGAATTACATAKTAGGAGTGGTTGCACAACCTTGTGAATATAGTAATACTATTGGAGTGTATACTCTGAAAGGGTGAATTCTACAGTATGTGAATTATACCTCAACTTAAAAAAAATCTGTGAAGATCAACTTGGTTAAGATTATTGCAGAATTAGCTTCCAAGCCAGGTATGGTGGCACATGTCTGAAATTCCATCTACTCAGGAGGCTAAGGAAGGAGAATTGCAAGTTGGAAGCCAATCTCAGCAACTTGGGGAGATCCTGTCTAAAAATAAAAATAAGCAAATAAATAAAAATAAAAAGGACTGAGAATGTAGCTTACTGGTAAAGCACTCCTGGGTTCAATCTCTAGTACTCACCCCCCTGCAAAAAAAGCTTCCCATGTAATCGATACCGTTGAGGATCAAGTACCATAGAAAGTTCTGAGGCAACTCTGCCTGGTGTGTATCTCCAGGGCTTATAATCCAAACTCAAATCAAAAATAAAAAATACAAAGGAGAAACACTAGCTAAGTAGACTGGTGAGTGAGTCAAGTCCTTGAGCAGATTAATTAAAGGACATGCTACACTTTCTCACTCTTAGATGTGACATGGGCACAGCTTCAGAGGCTTCCTTCAAAAGCTTTTACCAACAGGGCTAGTTAGTCAGCTTCTCATTACTGCAACAAAATACCTGAAATAATCAACTTATAAGGAGGAAAGTTTTTTTTTTTTTTTTTTTTTTGCCTCATAGTTTGGGGGATTTCAGTTCATGATCAATTGGCCCCATTGTTTGGGGCCTGTGCCAAGGCAGCATATCATGGCAAGAGTGTGTGGTAGAGCAAAGCTGTTCATTTCATGATGGCAGGAAGCAAAAGAAACTTTCTAACCCCTCCAAGGACATGTCCCAGTGACCTAAAGACCTCCCACTAGGACCCACCTCTTAAAGGTCCCACCACCTCTCAATAGCACCAAGTTGGGGACTAAGCCTTTGAACAACTGGCTTTGAGGGACATTCCAGAACCAACCTACAGCAAGTGCAGAACCCAAGATATAAGTGCTGAGGAGTCAATGACAGAGACATGACACCTTGGCCACAGGGGCTACTAGCAGAAAGCCCACAAATGCAGCAGCAGTGGAGGAGGTGAATCAAAGACTTGCATGCCAAACCAGGAAAAACAAAATACAACGTGGCCAAGAGCTCTGCACTTTATACTTGAAGATTTTTTTCCTTCCCTTTTCTTTCTTTCTTTTTTTTTTTTAAGATTTTTGCTTATAGGTAATAGATCAAAAAATACACCCACATTGGGCTGGGTATGTGGCTCACAGGTGGATCACTTGCCTGGCATGTGTGAGGCCATGGATTCCATCCCCAAAACCAGAAGAAAAAGAGAGAGGGAGGGAGGGAGGGAGAGAAAGGCAGGCAGGCAGGCAGGCCGACCCACCAAAAGTGTACATGAAATTCTTTTGCTTATCTTGGGAGTTGAAAATTACCTCTATCTATGCATATTCCATTGCAATGCCTCACAAGACTGCTTTAATGTAAACGAAAACATTACTTTATTTGACAGTGGTTCGTTCAAGCACGCATAAGTGTGACAGGGTGGATGTGATGTCATAGGTAGGTCCCTTCCCTTGCAGCTTTCTCTGTGCAGGGTGAACAGCAGCAGCCCTGTTGGAGGGTTGGCACAAAGCCCATAAGTGGCCAGTAATGGCACCCCCTTCCAGGGTCTGAGAATCTCAGGGTGCCCAAGAGTCACAGCAAAGGGATGTTACAGTGAGGCTCCCTGATGGCCCACCCTACCTGCCTCTATAAGGAAAAATATTAGCAGATGTAGGATAATTGTAGAAAAGTAGACATTGATTCAGCCCAGCAGATACACCTTTAACTGTTACTCCMAGTCCAGCTCATTGGAATTTGTTGGTCAAAGTGGGATCGATATTTTGAGTAAGGTTTTTAAGAGAACAGCTTGTCTTCTTAAACAACTAGCCAACACTCTTGTGATTAAAAATAGACAGGGCGCCGGCATTGCCTGGATGTCTGCTTTATTAAAACACTCATATTCCGTAGACATTTTAGCTCTGAATGCATCTTGGTTTGATAATAGAAATTTTTTTTCCAAATTGCTGTGTATGCTTCTAGTTTTAATATGTCTGTCAAGTAAAAACTTTGACAGCTGTCATCATGGAATGAACAATAATAACATTATACTGAATACTGTTGTGCTTAAGGATGTTGGGAAGAGGATCTGTGAGGAGGCTAATAAATTACATGTCCTTTATAACATGCTGTCATTCTTAGCCATTGCTTCTTGTAGACTTTAGTCAAAATTTAATAATTGATAGATCCCATCATGTGACAATAGACAGGGAACCGCATTGACTTTACTATGCAATGAGACATTCATCCTGCTTTCTCAGCACRCTCTCATGCTCATCATGTGTTAGTAATTGTAAGTTTCTTGTTTTTATAGAAAATAAACAGAGATGCCCAGGCTACACTCCAAAATCAGGAAATGGGTATATCTACGAATGAGTCCCTGGGCTCTGGATTTTACAAAGCTTCCTTGGTGATCCTGAAGCACACCCAGGGCTGAGAACCATTGAGAGGGTTGAGAGAAGAGATGGGGAAAGCAAAGGAGGCCTGAGAGTCCAGCCCTGAGGGCACAGAAACGCAGAGAAGCCTTGGGGGACTGAAGAGGAGCTGGGACAACAATGCTTGACCCCCACCTAGGCACGAGGGGACAGCAGGGAGGACTGCACTTTAGGGAAGGGTTATTCTGAGCTAGGGTGGAAGTGCTTGCAGCCTCCATGGAAATTCTACATCTCTTTTTCTGGTAGCCATGATGGCTGCAAGGGTGAGCCAGAAGCTGAGGGTGGAGCTTGATCAAAAGAGACAGGGAGGTGGGATGGTCCCCCACAAAGCGCCCAAGGATGGGGTCTGCTGTGTCCTCAGAATGGTGACCCCACACAGGTAGAGAGGTACATATTCTCAGGAAAGTGTGAGGGGAGCCCAAGGGGACCTGATGACTTCCTCAGCCTTGCTATCACCCCTGAAGGCCTGACTCAGGCACAGCAACTCAGAGTCACACCATCAAGGTTGTTATTTACATTCTCCAGAGCCAGCGCTTGCTGGGGGCAGCCCACCCGGAACTCCCCAAGGACGTTGTCACTTGAGAGATCTTCCTTTGGCCCAGACTCAACTGTCGCCCCCTTCTCATCCTCCCACTTGAGCCAATACCTCACACCTTCCTAAGGGACAGAGCAGAGCCAGCAGTGACTCTGGGATCTGGCAAAATGGCTAGTGAGAAAATACCTTCATTTCCTGCCTGACAGATCAAGCACAAATGTCTCCACTCTGCAGCTCTGGGAGGTAATGGGGGCAAGATCATATTTCAGAAATATTAACCTACGCTTCCTGCATGAGACAACTGGAGCTTCGGTGCCCATTGCCACAGGGGAGGGTGACAGAGGAGAAGCCTAGTCTTGGCTTGGAGTTTCAAAAGGCTGATCCTCACAGTGGGTAGCAAGAACTCAGGACACAGACTGTGGATTTGGCCGAATATAAATATGATGGATTAGAGAACCAAGGCCTCCTCTCTGCCCATTGGTAAAGGTTCCATTGGCTGGGATGGGCTGGAGAAGACAGTGGACATTTATGGGGTCCCTAAGAAAAGGGGAAAAGTCTGAAGGGGAAGGGGTATGTATGATAAATACCTCATACAGGTGAGGAGAGTCTAAGGGTAGAAGAGCCTGGTGCCCCGTGTTCCCAGTAGAGTCTGGAAAAAATGGTAAGATGTAGGGTAGAACAGGATACTAGCTGTACAGCTCAGCACATGGGCCTGGAACAGCCTCATAGAGCTTCCAAAGCCCAGAGGGATGGAGGGACTGGAGCTAAAATGTCTTGCTTGCCCCAAGCACAGTCAGGCCCCAACAGGCTTTGGGAGTAAGGGAGCACATGGCAATGTCTGTGACTGTGCACACCAATGATCGACCAACTGCCAACAGGGATGTTTCAGCAGGTACTGGCATGGTGGATGCTGCACTGGGGAACAAAGGCTTATGCTACTTAAAGTTTTCCAAACTTAGTCCCAGGAAAAGATGGGAAGAGACTCCAAATGGACTAGATCAATTTCCACCACCTGGCATGGGGTTCATAATAGAAATTGCATTCAGTGTTAGAAAAATAGCTATTTCTTACAAGCTCGAGTTTTATAGACTGGGTTTTACCTACCATGTAATAAATTAATAAATATTTTATGTTTTTTGTTATAAAGAAAAGATTTTTTTAAAAGTCAGTGGAATAACATTCTATGCACAAAAGAAACGCCACTTGCTGCTTTTGTCAATCGTAGACTTTTCCTCCAAGTCTTACATTCAGAAAGCAGAAGGATCTTCAGAAAGTTCGGTTAAACAACTAGCATTTTGAGTGGAATTTATAAAAATCCAAGTTCATGGCTTGTTCTTTTTGCATTTGTGTTTTTGATTGCTCATTTTCAGGGATCCAAATACAAGGCCATCTGTCACTGGTGAGAGATAAGGCATTTTCTGGACTACCATGGAGAGAAGACCCCACACCATCAGACAAGTAACTGCTGTTCCATTGTGAGCCTAGCAGCCCTGAAATGACCATGCCAAGAGGGTAGAAGGGCAGCGGCAAAGTTATAGGGAACCACTAAAGTGGTCCCCATGGGGAAAGAATAGTTGGGTCTCCCAGGAGCGAGCCAAACACAGTCCAGAAGCCCAGGAATCCAGAGCCCTTGAATAAACCTGCAGGCTACCGGCTCACTACCGCATCCCAACCAGCCCCAATCCAGGTAGGGGAAAGGGATATGAGTGCATATGGGGCACAGATGGCCCTGGGGTAGTCCCAGTGCCTGTGCTTCAGGGACCTCCAGCCTTGACTCAGTTGTTCTTAATTTCATCATCCCACAGTGCACTGGGCATGCCCAAGAACTTTTGGGAGTATAGACAGGGCAAGGACAATCAGGGTGGCTGGAGAAGCCTGTGAGGAAGAGAGAAGGGAAGATAGTGACCAAATAGGGAGGGGAGTTGCCTTCCCAGTAGGAGAGTTGTGCCATCCACTGTCAACAGGTGAAAACTGTCCCCCATCCCTCTGCAAACCTCTAGCCAACGTTACGGGGAAAGAGCCTGCGATCACAACAAATTTACCACGGTGAGCACTAGGTGTAAGCACCCTACTTTAAATTCTAACTTAGTTCTTACTGAGGATAGAAATTCCATTTGACAAAGGTTTATTAGCTTGCTTCCCTCCAGGGGTTCTGTTCAGCTATGAGAGGGGCCACTGCCATCTTCATGGTGCCCCAGTCTGAGATCTAGGAAACTAAAAAGTTATAGGGGCTGATCCAAGGGCCGGGGGCAAAGCCTACCTGGAACAGAGCTGACTTGGCAAACAGATGGGGAAAGATGAAATCTGGGTCCCCTGCTCCTTTCTTTGTCTTCAGGGTATGGAAGGTGAGGGGAATAGGAGTGAGGACTCGTCTTCTCAGGCACCGAGGGCATCAATGCCAGCAGGGCTCAGCACCAGCGCCTGAAGGATGTCGGAGAGGGAAACCACGCCCAGGAGATGCTGGGTCTCATCTACTAGCACCAGCCGGTGTACCTGTGGGTCACATTGTTCAGTGACTAACCAGGCCCCACCCCACCCCATCCCAAACAAGCAGGGGAAACAGTTTGACATAGCTGGGGGGACAAGAGGGTGTCTCCTGGGAACCAGCTGGCAATGTCTCTGAGCACTCAGTTGACTGGCCCTTGGCAAGAGAACCTCATAGACAGGACCAGGTGCATACTAAGGTGAATGCCAAGAATTGGTCTCGAAATAGGAGGACAGGCCAGGTGTCCACTGTCCAGGGATGGCTGGAGCCCACATGGAAGAACTGGGCTATCTCTATGGGGGCATTCCTGGAGAGGCACAGGGTACCTGTTCTCGAGCAATCCTGTCAATGACTTCTCCCAGGCTCTCGTGGGGCTGGCAGGAAAGGACCCCCTCCAGACACAGTGTCCTCTGTCGCAGGGCTTCTCCCACACTCATGTCTAGGTGGTTGTAGGTTTTCTGGGCAGCCAAATGCTGGGGCAGGGAGAGAAAGAGAGTTCCAAGTCACCGCTTTGCTCAGACTCCCACCTCACTTGACAGCACCCCTTACACACTCGTGAAGTGTGTCCACAGATACTCTCCCATCCATCCTCCTACCACAGCCTCCCTAAGGCACCCCAAGCCCCACAGACACTTACAATCACATCAAAGCGGGAGTAGAGGCCCACAACCTGACCTACAAGGGGAGAGAGGAGAAAKACAGGGAAGAGGGCCGCATCAGGACCAGTGCTTTGCAGAGGGCCTGGGCCAGGTCTTGGAGTGCACTCCTCCATATCCTCCCAGGTTGCAGCTTTATAATGAGGCATCAGGCTGCTCCCTCTAAGCCATGAGTCAGCCTGGCATCACAGAGAGTGAGACCACCTCATCTCCTGCCCCCTGAAGAGATGCAATATGAGAACAGTGCATCACCTATGAAGTGAGTAGTCTAGTCCCCAACGTGTAGGGCCAACTCATCAGGGTTCCAGGAAACTAAAGCAGAGAATAAGGTGAAATCCACCTCTAGGAAGCAAATGGGCAAATCTGGAGGGGAATATTCTCTGGATAACCCATTCAGGCTCTTCAACTCACCTGTGTCAAACAGTCAGGGGAAATGGAACAGTTCTAGATGTAAAGAGACTTAAGGGACAAAAGATAGAAATGCAAAATCTGGACCTTTAGTTGGATACTGGTTTGAACAAATCAATTGTAAAAGAAAAAAAAATCTTGGGAGAAATTGCAAAATGAGAATAAGTATTAAACATTAGATATAACATTAGTAAATCATTCCTGGTTCTGTTAGGGTAGAAAATTATACTCAGAGACATAATATTGTCTGTAATTTAAAATGCTTTAGAAAAAAAGATGAACTGATTATGGCAATATCTTAACAATAGTTAATCCAGGCAACATATATATGGATTCATTATACAATTTTTTCTTTTTTTTTAAACCTTTCTCTTTTTTTTGAGAGAGAGAGAGAGAGATTTTTTTAAATATTTATTTTTTAATTTATCGGCGGACACAACATCTTTGTTTGTATGTGGTGCTGAGGATCGAACCCAGGGCATCGCATGTGCTAGGCGAGCACTCTACTGCTGAGCCACAGCCCCAGGCACTAATTATACAATTTTWAAAAATTTATTTGAAATTTTTCCAAGTCAAAAATAAATTAAAAGTAGTTCTTGACAGGCACGATGGCATACACCTGTAATCCCAGCAACTGAGGAAGCTGTGGCAGGAGGATAACAAGTTCAAGGCCAGCCTTGGTAACTTAGAGAGACCTTGTCTCAAAACATAATAAAAATGGATGGCTGGGGATGCAGCTCAGTAGTGGAGCACCTCTGGTTCAAACCCCAGTACTGAAGGGGAAACCAAACCAAACCAAACACTTCTGGATATCTAGCTTTATTATGGTAAATTTTTTTTTGGGGGGGGGCTGCTGGGGAATGAATCCAGGAATACTATACCACTGAACAACATCCCCCGCCCTTTTTATTTTGAGACAGGATCTCACTAAATTGCCCAGGTCAGCTGGGAACTCACGATCCTCCTGCCTCAGTCTCCTGAGTCACTGGGATTACAGGTCTGCACCAYCACACCCAACCAAAGAAGAATTCTTGTTGTCCCTCTGGTCCTTTCTAAAACAGGAAATTGACTCTGGCTGGGGGCCCAAGATTTCATGGCCCATTTTAAGATGAACTGAGACCAAAAAAAAAAAAAAAACCCAAAAAACTGGCCCTGCTGTTTCACCTCACTGTGCTGATTTTATTGCAACTAATCTTGTAAATCCTGTGAAGTCAGATGTATGGATATTGTTAAGATTGCCATTTCACAGATAGGAAACTGAAGCAAAGAAAAGTTAAGTGACTGGTCCAAGGCTCAAAGCAGGTGACTTCTACCCCACTCCACCCTGGGCACCCAAGTTGGTGCCACATGGACTCCTGCCACCCCACACCCCACCTCATGTTGTCCCCCCACCCTGCTCTTGCTCTAGTGCAGGTACCAGATTCATTGATCACAGGCAGGGCAGACACACGCCGGTCCACGAAGATRTCCAGTGCCGTAAGGACGGGCGCTGTTTCCAGTACCACAGCCAAATCTCGGAATGTGCCGATGCCCAAATCTTGGATAGTGCGGTAGAGGAAGGAGGGCCGGGGCAGCAGGGCACCCTGGTGGGGTGGAGACAGGGTGATGATCAGTGGTCAAGCRGCCCAAGAGGGCTCTGGGTTCCTCCATCTCCCATGTCCAGGCTTGAAGACTTAGCCCCTTGAATCACCTTCCTGTGGCTCCCCCTGCCTCCCCCTGGCCCTGGGCTCACAAAAATGTGCAGGAACTTGAGCAGCCGCTTGTGTGTGAGGATGTAGAGCACCGCGCCAGAGACAGGGTCCAGGACTGGAAGGCGATGGATCCGGTTCTTAATGAGGACATAGACGGCTTCGAACAGGCTGCAGAGGTGAGACCAGAGAAGGGGGAGCAGCGTGGGAAGAGACACCTTCTACTCCAGTCCCCGCAGATAGGAAGGAGGATGGGGCACCAAAGTTGTCTCATCTGCCTGCTTCCTAGGATGGGTCAGGGGAAGGGGACAGGGCAAGACAGGGGCTCAGGTAGTTGATGGGGAGGCTTACCTGTCATTGGGAGAGATGGAGACCAGAGGCTTGAAGCAGCCTTGGAGGTAGATCTCTGTAGAAAACGCCAGAGTGAGGCTGAGGGAGTGGCCACTGCCTCGCCTGCAGCTGGACCCTTTTCTTCCCCCAGGCACCTACAGTACACAATTTCCTCCCTATCGCTTGCACCCTGCAGGAAATCCTCTGAGCTGGCCCTCCCTCTGCCCCAGGCCCTGGGCCCCACCCTCAACCCCACAGCCCCTCTCCCCACTCACCCCTCCAGGTCTCGATTTTATGTTCTTCAATCTCATAGATCTGGACCTAGAGGCATCGGCAGGATTCTGGTTTCAGATGTGGACTTGGCAGGCACCAGGCTCCCTGAAGAYCCCCTTCCACCCCAATACTACTGGCACCCAGGGCTCCCGGCTGCTCCTTACCAGGGGGGACCTGTAGTATCTGTGAAGCACCAGGATGAAGTCTGTGATGGTGAGCATCCCTACGGGCAGGCGGGACACAGGGGTGACCATAAGCTTTCTGTCCTTGGGTGTGAGGGAGGTTAAAGGTGCCACTCTCCCAGCGCCCTTGCCATTCCTCACCCCCCCTCCCCAGCCTCTCCTCACCCACAAAACTTTGCTTCTTGCTGTCCCACAGAGGGGCTGCCCGCACACCATTGGCCACCAGGGCAAAGAAGGCCTTCTTGATCTGAAGGATGGGACAGAACAGTGGAAGGGTGAGTCCCAAGAGGCCCTCATACTCCCCTCTTGCTGCCCCTCAGTGGCCACTCCCCTGTCCACCTGCTGTCCTCTTTGCTGTTCCCACCAGAGTCCTTCCTTGGGATCTTCTCCCAGGTTCTCCTCCACAGGAGCCTGCCTGTCTTTCCCATGTCATGGCACACACTAGACCAGATCCCACTTGGGCACATTTACAATTATAGACAAGGCTGCTTGTGGCGGGAGGTACAGGAAGACCCTCAGCAGTTACAGCAGGTTAGAAGCCCTAATTCAGAGTCTCCACTTGGAAATCATGCATGTACAGACACAAGCATAATTTTTTACTAATMTAAATAAGTACTAGAGATAGAATTATTTACATAATATTTACATAGTTTTTGTCTCTGAATAAACTATAAATTGACTCATATTAAACAATACACTCTGTACATGCTGGTTGTATTTTTCTACTACACATTAAAATAAATACAAAGCTACTGAAATGGAAGTATTTGTTTATGAACTACTAGAACCAAATTGTGTACTGTAGGTGACATACAAACCATGCTTTAAGCATTTTACATATACTATCTGCTCATTTACACCAGYAATAAGAACAGAACCACAGCCAGGCATGGTGGTGCACGCCTGTAATCCCAGTGGCTCGGGAGGCTGAGGCAGAAGGATCATGAGTTCAAAACCAGCCTTAGCAAAAGTGCTAAGGTGCTAAGCAACTCAGTGAGACCCTGTCTCTAAATAAAATACAAAATAGGGCTGGGGATGTGGCTCAGTGGTTGAGTGCCCCTGAGTTCAATCCCCAGTACCAAAAAACAAAACAAAACAAAAAACAGAACCACAGACATTTGGTAGCTTAATCTAATGAAAGAGCAGGTACCAGAGATCTTCTAATTTTTTCCATTACCAAGAGTCTCCTGCTCTTCTTTCCTAAACAACTCTGCAATGTCTTAGACATATTTCAAAGTTTGTTTTCACTTTGTACTGGGTTGTCCTGATACTCTGAAACACAGGGGGCAAAGCAGGCATTCCGATCTCCATTTTCAAGATAATGGAGATAAATGGATCAACGCAAARTTTTGTAGATAGTGAAATTGCAGAGATGGGATGATGGGATGCTCCCAAAGAACAGAATCCCTCCCTCTCCCCACTGGGCTCCGTGGTGCTAAGGAGCTCTTGAAGGGGACTTGGCAGGGCATGCTGGAGGGTATGAATGGTGGTGGCAAGATGGCGTTGAGCATGGAGACCGAGCTCTGGTGTGGCAAGCTGGGTCTCACCTCCAGCGTGGTGTCAAAGATGACCAGCTTGGAGCTGGTTGCCATGGCATCATAGCAGGTGTGCTCCTGCATGAAGTGCATGTAGACCTGGGCCCCAGGCTTCTGCAGCTCGTCCTCCCAGCCCAGGCTGAGTAATGGAGCCTGTGGCGATGGGCATGGGGCAGGCCTCTCTTCCCCAGGGCCTTCAAGTTCAAAGCCCCAGGCTTCTGGGGCTGGGAACTCGATGGCCACCTCCAGATCATCTGTGCTGGAGCTGGCGGCTGAGGCTGCAGAGTGCTGGGGGAAGAGTTCCCAYCCTCTGGGCGGGGTGCCCACCCGGGCCAAGGGAGCAGCTTTGGCCAAGGGTGTGGCTTCTGGGAATGTGGCCTCCAGCCCGGTGGACTCAGCAGCTGGCCTGGAAGGGGGACCTGATGGGAAGAGAAGGAGGGTAAGATAGTRGCTCCATCTTCAAGCACGTTCTCATCAGCTCTCGGTGACCTCGTGGCAGCCTTGGGAAGCTTGGATGCTGTGACTTCACAGTGCAGTGGAGAAGCCGAGTCACCCAGGTAGCTGCTTTGTCTGTGGGTCCTAGCTGGCCATAGGGCCCTTGGCTCTGCCCTGCAGTTGTTCTCTCCCATGTGGAGAGACAGAAGTCACAAGATGAGGATTGGGCCCAACTCGGTGTTAGGAAGGGATCCACGGCAGTCCCGCCACCCAGGCTCTGGGCTTCCCCACTGTCCTGGCTCCCACCTCTCCAGAACTGGCCTTGGCCTTACCTTCTTCCAGATCCGGTGGTTCTCCTTCCTCCACAGCCTCCTGCCTCGTCCATCTTGATGCCTTGCCCCCCCGTTTCCCATGGATTATTTCTGAACTGGTGGTCATGGCTGGTGAAGGCCATGAGGAACTGTCTCCTTGCTCTAGGAAGCTCATCTCTGGAAGGGAGAACAGGGCCTGTTTGGTTAAGTGGGCAGTACAACAAAATCAGTTAAAATGTTGTTAATAACACTATTGGCAAACTTCCAGGGGGCTTTTTCTCCATCATATTTCTTATTCTATGCTCATCATCTATAAGGGAGGCATTATTATCATCCCTATTTTACGTGCAAGGGACCAGAAATTCAGAGAGGTTAAGCAATTTGCCACAATCACACAGCTAGGAGGTGGTAGAGTCAGGAGTGGGGTTCAGGAGATGAGAGAAACACACTATGCAGAGGAGGAAGAAGGAACCTCTCCCAACAAAATTCAGGCTAGGGGCTGGGAATTGGCATACCAGAAATGTGGGGGACAAAGGAAGTGGGAGAGGATGCAGACCCGCAGAAAGCGGGCAGTCTACCTACCTTGATGCTCAGCCTCCCCTAGGCTGCTCCAGGACAGGGTCTAGGGGGAGAAGAATGTCTGAAGGGGTGGGAAAAACGCCTCGGGTTCCCGGAACCCCAGGTCTTCTTCCCTCTCACTGTACACATAGGCACACACACAAACACACACACAAACACACACACAAACATCCAACCACTCCTAGACACACACAGGACTTATACACACTCACACACTATGTATATACACAGGCACCAACATACTCACACAAACAGAGAAAGTGTAGACCAAACAGCACACACGCACACACACCACACACACACACACACATTCACACGCGGTGCCCTCTGTGCTCTCGATTCTTGGGCCCTGCTGCCCCGGTGCCCGCCCCACTGGRACCCCAGTACCCTGCGCAGTGCATGCTCCAGCTCGGGCTCCATGCAGCAGGCCCCAACCAACCGTGAGCAAGTGCCGACTCCCCAGCCGGCCGGGCAGCACTATTCTGGGCCCGGCCTCTGGCGCCCTGCCTTGCCGGGATCGGTTTCTCTGATTGGGTGTCAGGCAGCTGGGAGGGAGGGGGCCACCCACAGCTGCTCCAGCCCAGAAGCCTGGGGGCGGGCTGGGGAGGCGAGGGGCGAACCTGCGAGTCTTGGTGCCTGGTCTTTGGTGGCCTCCAGGTCTCCCAGGACAAGCTAGATGGACCCTGCTGCTGAGGAAGCCGCTTGGCACATTGTGGGGGCATGAGCACTAGGAGAAAGTTGGGTTCTTGCAGTCCCAGGGCCCGGCTCAGCTTTATCAGGCACCAAAGTACTGAAAGTGGAGGCTGTTGAGCTTAACTTTCTTCCCAGTACAAATTTTGGTGGGGGTGATGCTGGCTTAGAAAGAACCAGTGGAGGCTACTGTGCAGGCTGGGGATAAGGCAGGGAGCTCATGGGTGATCCCAGCAGAGCAGCCGGTCTATGCCATGATGCCCTCCATTTGAGTCTGGGATCCTCTCCTTCTCTCAGGTGGAGGAGGTGGAGTGGGTGGGTCAGGCAGGTGGGGAGCTATGCAGGTCACCTCCCAGGCTTGAGGTGGGCTTCAGGCTTGGGGCCCAGGCTTGTCCACAGAAGGAAACACCTGTCGGTGTCTTCCTGTGATTAGGAGATGTCTGGGTGTTCCAGAGCCCCAGCCCCCACAGCTGTGTGTACTGTCCCTATCTCTCCTGGTGCCAACGGAATCCCAGCCTGGCTCTGGTGGCTGCCCACCCCCTTCCTTGGCATTCCAGGAGCCTGAGTCAGCGTCCAAATCAGGAAAGCTGACCCAGCTGCTCCTGCTCCCTTCTCACTCCCCCTCCCTTCCTCCTTCCAGCCTCTTCCATCCCAGTCCTTGGCTCAGGAGTGGACATTCAGAAATGGACTACTGGATTTCTTGCTGAATTTATTAAGCATATTTCCCTCCCTCCCTAGGAGCACCTGCACTGTCTGCGGGGAGGGTAGAGGAGAACAGAGCAAGAAGGGGACTTTACCTTTTCTTGTGGGTCTCAAATAGCACAGGATCCCTGGAGCCTGTCTCTCTGTGGTTCCTGATGGTGGAAACTTCCAAGGCACAGCTAATGGGGACATCTCATACAATGGACAGACCACCAGCATATGATCTATCAAGGCATCACAGATGACAGATATTCCCTGTACTTTGCAGAAATGCAACAATGGTCCACAGCTCACCAGCAGGCAATATTTATCCTTGTCTGATGTTCAATCTCTAATCCTCTGACACTTATTTTAGGATTTTAAGCAGTACCATTTCCAAATATCAAATTCTGCATTAGTTTGCAGACTGAGAAGCTGATAGAGTGGTTCTTCCAAGCATCTTCCATCTTGGGCACAACATGGCCACTCTAGCTCTTGGTGTTACATGAGCATTCCAAGTAGGAAAGGGGGAACTTTTTCTTTTATGCCTAACCTGGAAGTTGCTACCATTATTTACACTCACATTGCATTGGCTGAATTTGGTCAGTTCAAGAGATGTTGAGAATCAAAGTCTTTATTATGGTCAGCTGTGTCACGCAGTCTTTCATTCCTGTGTCAAAATACCTGAGAAAAACAACTTAAAGGAGGAAAGATTCATTTTGGCTGATGGTTTCAGAGCATTGTCAGATGATGCTGTTGTTTCTTGGCCTGTGGTGAGGCAGAGCATCATGGTGGTTAGGAAAGAGAAAAAGAGAGAAAGAGAGAGAGAGTGGGTGGGGGGAAGGGGCTGGGAACAAGATGCAGTCCCCAACAGCACACTCCAAGGGACCACTCCCTTTGACTATCTCCTACAGTCTCCACCACCTCCCAATAGTCCTTTCAGCTGTGAATCCACCAATGGATTAATCCAGTGATGATGTCAAAGTCCTTCTGATTCAGTCACTTCCCAAAGCTCTGCCGCTGAACATTGCTGCATTGGAGATCAAGCCTTCAATATATGGGCCTTAGTGAAACATTCCAGATGCAGATCCAAACTGTAACAGCAGCCCTTTCAGCTGAAACTCAAGCCATTTTATTACTAAAGAAAAAAAGAAACAGACGTTAGGAGGCAACTGGCAGTCTCTGTTACAGAAGCTATTGGAGAAAACACACGTGGGTGTAAAAGAAACTCCCTTTTCATGATTTTCATCTTCATGCTCATAGGAAAAGACTCAGAGAAATCAAGCAAAATTTCCCAAGGTCATAGGCAAGCAAAGGACTGAGCCTAAGCAGGAATCAGGTCTGTCTGTCCCCAAAACAGACTTTTCATCACATCCAGCCAATATATTTTGGCCGTCAAGGGGCCCACAGTTGAACTRGAGATGAATAACATTTGCTTGTGGAACAGCTGGGTGAATGCCAGCTCAACTCTACTGAGATGGACACGCACTGTAAGGAAATGCAACTTGGATAATAGTCAGGGAAGACTTCCCGGAAGAGGAGGCCCTGCTTCTGACCCTGCAGGAAGTAGCACAGAGAATGGAGCATGGCAGTGGTGTGAGCTGAGTCTGCTCTGTGCCTGTGAAGGTGACTCGGAGCATAAGGGGGCAGTGGGCAGAAGCTGGAGGTGTGGGCTCTCTGGGTCCACTGCATCGTGTGTCCTTGTGGATGGTTCAGAGAACCTGTAACTCATGGAAACTGGTAGGAAACACTGAGACCACTGGTGCATGTTGGCTGTAACTTACTGCTTCTAGCAAAGTTCTACAAGAGCTGGCACTAGGGCTACCTATAAGATATGGTTTGGAAGAAGGTGGGACCTGGGCTCCCAGCCCATTCTCGAGCCCATCCTTTTCAGCAGACAGTGGGAACCAGCTCAGTAGGCAGACATCAGAAGAAGGGAGTTTCCTTTACACCCTCGTGTGTTTTCTCCAATAGCTTCAAGATTGCCACCTCCTTAGAGAGAATAAGAATAYAGATCCAGAGTATCCCTGCAATAAATATTTGAACCCAATGATAGAAGATGCAGGACCTCTCCAATCCTACCATGGCCTGCCTACCTATCTCTGTCAGTTTTGTGTCACTATAACAGAATACCACAAACTAGGTAATTTACAAAGAAAAGAAATTTATTTCATACAAGATCAAGGGTCTGCATCTGGCAGGGCCCTTTTGCTATATCATCCTGTGGCAGAAGGCAAAAGGCAAAAGAGCCTGCATGGAAAGAGAGAAAGAGAGGGCAATCTGTTCATAACAGATCCACCCTTGAGAAAATGTTTTCCACTCCATGAAAACAGCATTGATCCATTCCTGAGGCCAGAGCCCTCATGACCGAACCACCTCTTAGAGGCAGCATATCTAACACTGTTATTTTGGAGATAAGTTTCCAACATAGGGTATAAATATGTCAAACTAAACTCTACTGTCATCTATAACTAAGACGAACATTTAAAAATATTTCCGACATATGAACTTTTGGGAGACACATTCAGATCATAATCCTCCCCCACCCCCACCTACTTCTGGACTGTTATGTTAAAAATAAACTTCTGTCTTGTGTAAGCCACTGACAAGTGGGACCTTTGCTATAGCATCTTTCTCTAATTAATACATTTTCACTGCAGGATTGGTGTAGCACTAGAATTTACATATGTAGATACTGACCCTTGTTTATAGAGAACACTGAACACATCCTAGGCAGTATCCCACATAATCCCTTGCAACATTGTGAAATAATGATTTTATTACTGTAGTTTTACAGATGAGAAAACCGAGGCATAAATAGATTGAAGTAACTTGATCAAAGTATCAAAGCTAAGTGAGATGAATCCAAGAATCAAATCCAGGGTTTCTGAACTCCAGTGCCCATAAGTAACCACTGAACTTTAGGGGGAGCACAGGCTTGGCATGTAATATGTGCTCAGTAAGTGGTTACTATTATTATTACCACCTGCTCCCAGTGACCCCAGACCTCCACTTCAGAGGTTCCAAAGGCAGGCAGGCACGGGAGGGCTTCAGCACCTTGGAGGTCATCTCAATCTCACACTGCCATCAGAGTCGGAGGTGTGCTCCGGCTGGGGTCAGACATCAGTGCTGCTTAGCACTGAGACCAGAATGATTTGCTAGTTTAAAGAGAGTGCTCCTTCCTGCCCCTGCCCTTTGCCTYTCCATCTCCCACACCTGCTCACTGCCAGCCCAACTCCCACCTGTCGCCTCTGGCAAGGCAAATCGGCAGAACATACTGGCCTCAGTTGGAAATGTAGACTTCTTGGGTGATTGATTTTAACCTCTGGTCATGATATTATGTTTCTTGAAATCCTGCTTCATGACTGCCTCACAGACTGTGTGGATAATAAAGACCCTGCACCCTGACTCTAGGGTGAGTTTGGCTGCCACCTCTGGAGAGCCGATTTGTCTAGTACATGGAGTTGGGGATCCTGTTTAAGTGTTATTTTTATATCAGAGRGAGAAAAACAGCTTGAGGAGGCCAAGGGAGTAGCCCGGACGAAACCATGTACTGACAAATCACAGATGGGGTCCCCTTCTGCCAGAGCAGTTGAGAGGCTGTGAGAGTAGCCTTTGCTCAGTGGCCCAGACACATCAGCTCATCCTTCCTGGGGGTGCTGGACACAGCAGCATGTGTGGACTGGACAGAACCAGCACCTTGGTGACAGTTCCATTGGTCCACAGGCCCATTGCTGAGCTTTTCCTGTGAGCTGCTGGGGATGGTAGTGCCCAAATAGTACTTTTGCCTCCGCCCCCCCCCCTCCATCACAATATCCTTTTGCCCCTTTTTTGGCACACCTCCAAGATTTCCTTCAAAAAACCCCAAACTCCCTGATCTCAGAGCACTTGATTTTTGGAGGGCTCAGCTATGGGTGGGTTCCAAGAAGTAGACCTCCGATTCAGACTAAGCTCATCCCATACTTAGTACCTCTGGCCACAGTAAGTGGGGCATTGGCAGAATCAGTCAAAGAAGGGTGAATCCTGGGACTTTTGCTGGAATTCATAGGAACTCTTTCCAACTGGTGAAGTAGGAGGGTAGAGTGTGGAGAATCTGGGGGCTACTATGGAGAGCGGGGCAGATAATAAAGACCAATCCGCGGGCAAGAGTCACGATATGATGGGGAAAGACAGATCCTCCTGGCATTCATTGCATCCTTGGATTAAATTGTACCTGAAGACCTAATGCTGGGCTTTTTCAATTACATAAACCAATAGAAACGTTTGATTATTGGTTGGTTTAAAGAAATTTGAAGTGTGTCATTGGTCATTTGCAGATGAAAGTGTTATAACCAAGAAATAGTGCCCATTTGAGAAAGCAATTAGAGTAAATCAGAAGGTTGTCACGGGAACTTTTACAAGGTGCTTGAAGAAAATAGAATAAAAGGAAGATTGAAATGGAACAGGGTTATTGAAGGAAGACTTTACATAAAGAAGGTGAGTTTGGGCATAGAAACAATAATAAATATTTACTGAGCTGTAAATAGTGTATCTTCATACTTTAAATGAGTTGGAAAGAGTTCCTATGAATTCCAGTATAAGTGCCAGGATTCACCCTTATTTGACTAATTCTGCCAATGCTCCACTCACTGTGGCCAGAAGCGCTAAGAGTGTGCTGGATACCAGGTTAAGCAGTTTACATATGTGATGGAAGAGTATGTAAAAATAGGAACAAAATTGGGAAGGGGGTACTTTCTTCTAACCTATTGATTTTTCTCATTCAAACTGGAAYGTCTTAGTTTATTGTCGCCAGAAAGAAATAGTACAGTGCAGAGGAGCACCTTCTGGCTTGTGCATTTCTGAGGTCTTCTGGAAGAAATGGAAAACCTTTGATGTAAAAGATTTTGGAGTTGGGGAAGAYTAGGTTATTCAGAAAACATGTTCCACTAGGAATAACAAAAAAGACTGGATAAAATATAAAGAGCATTTTCTAAAATAAGATAAGGGCCAACTGAAAGAACGTTAGTGAGAAGTGACTTTTGCTCTAGGGCATCTGCCAATTTTAGCAAGAGCCATTAGATGGGGGTCCAGCAACCCATGCAAGTTGAGAGAAGAGACTCCATCTGTAGAAAGCAGTTATCTCAAAAGGAATGCACCCTCAGAGCAAGTGCATCCAGAAGCAAACTAGCTTTTATGTCCAGACAATATTAAACCTTGAACTTGATGTAAGGTGGGACTGCATCAGTAATGACCCAAGTGCTCAGCAGAAACAAACATAAATATTCTCTGGAGAAACTTACCTTCTCCAAAAATCACAGATTATTCCAAAAATATTTATCA